GAGCAGTGACGGTTCTGCCCCAGCAGAGGCGATGACGCCCGAACTGGCAGAAGCACGGAAATACTCATTCCCGACCTGACAGGAGTCTAGGAGTGAGTGCGCGAGGTGGTTATAAAAGGCTCTCCACTCCCAAAGAGGAGGTATGCAAACTTTGCGCTATCTGGTTTTACCTTGCCTTTGAAGGATTCTAACTTAAGTTTTGGAGCCTTTACACCGGGTTCCCCCCAGAGCTTCCTCGTCTCCTCCGTTTCAGGTTCTCTGCTACTCAGTTCAGAGGCAAGGTCGTTGACAGGTAAGACCGGCCGGATTGCGCATCATCACTAACCTTTCAAAGCCTTCCACATCCGAGCAACCGACGGAATATCTCATTGTCTCTACCTTTTCCTGCAATTTTTTTTTCTTCTTTCTCGTCCTCTACGTGACCAAAAAATAATCTCCGGAGGGCGGGATTATTTTGTTTATTTTGTTTCCGCATTCCTTTCTGAACTTTTCGAGCGTCTGAGAAAAACTGTAACTTTCTCGCAACTCTGTCACTTTTAAGCTGAACCCGAAAATCGTCTATTTTCGACTTCTGTAAATTCTTCGAGGTTGAGTTTTGAATAGTCACAGAACTTCATCCCCTACTTATTTCTAAGCATCATCTTCTCCCCGGTATTTGTTTGGTTGCTTTTTATGGAACCCCTAACTCCTCCTATCCCAATCCTCCCTATTTTCTTTTCAATGTTTCTCCTGATCTATCTCGTTGCCTACTACATCGTTTTCCGCAGCTGGAGCCCGAAATACCGCCCCGAAGCCTCCAGCTGCTTCATCTCTTTAGCCCATGGCACTCCCGCGGTTTTCTTGGCCATTTTTGCTATACTAAAACAATCTCCTCACGGCTTCGCTTCTCCAAACACCAGTTCCCAGAGTTTGGTACTTGATTTCAGCATTGCTTACTTCTTGATGGATCTCCTCCATTATCTCATCTTCTTCCCAAGTGATGTTCTCTTCATAGGCCATCATTTAGCAACCCTCTTTGTATTATTCACATGTCGATACATGGTTCTCCATGGTGCCTTCGCCATGCTCATCCTTCTCATCCTTGCAGAAATCACCAGTGCTTGCCAGAACCTGTGGACCCTCGCCAATGTCCGCAGAGCCGACGTGCCTAGTGCTGCCAAACTCTACCGACTCTTGTCTCCCCCATTCTATACCTTGTATTCTGTTGTTAGAGGGTTTGCTGGACCTCTCTTTGTTTACAAAATGGTTGTCTTCTATTCAAGTGGAGCAGCAGATAATGTGATCCCACGATGGATTCTGGTTTCCTGGATGATAATAATTGCAGTGGCAATCTCTGTTAGCATATTATGGGTCTCGAATCTTTGGCTGGAGCTTTACAGAGAAAGAACTGCTAAAGTGGATAAGAAAGTGAGATAAAAGAAGTGAGTTTCTGGTTTTCTTCACCGACAATCGTTGATTGATTTCGAATGGTCTCTGTCAATTTCTTAGTTTCTAACTCATGTTTGGACCAGATGAAAACAGTAAGCAGTGGGGTCCGTGACATTTTGGGCATAGATTTTTTCTATGGCTTTGTATGATATCCTCGACACAAAATTCTGCCGTAATGAAGTATTAATAATCCCATTTACTTATTTCAACTCTGTGTTGATAATTAGTTCTCTACTTCTCTTGTCTCTGCATTTCTGTAAGTACCGATTATTTTGTTAAGAATTTGCAAATTCTAACAAACATCTACTTAGTTTCCTTCTTTTTCTGGTTTTAAGCTGTTGGATTGAATCGTTCAACACCCCCACCCCCACCCACTTTCCTGTCTGTAACGGAAAAAAAAATGAGTATGGATAATTTCTGTTCCTGAGGCCTAGCTAAATTCTTTTTGTGCATTCTGTGGATTTATTGGGCTTTGATTGCAAGAGCTTGGTTCTTTGGATAAGGTGGCGCGGATAGCTGGGCGTCCAGCCTTCTCTCCAGTATCTTGCAAGAATTTGGCTAGGCTTGGTGGGGCCCGTGTGCAGATTGATAACTCGAGTGCTAAGCAAAGAATGAGAGAAATCCAGCTTTATTACATTTTCACCAGAAGCTACAAATTACACCATTCTACTTTACATTTTACTCGTACCAAAAAAAAAATAAAATAAAATAAAAAAAACAAAGTAGAATCTAGACCAAGAGTGAACTAGAATTTGTACTCGCATACATTTGCATAAATCAGAATTATTGGTAAATTGATTGTTCTTTATCATTGATGTGCAGAGCATGCAAAATATCAATACTCTAATGGGGTGTTATCCAATATATGATTTTGTTTTTCAAAACAAAAACAATTGTATTTGCACCGTTTCTGGATATAAATGGATGACCATGCCGCTTGCCGCTTTAAATTTTAAATTTTCGAAGTACCCTTTTATAAATCTCACTGATTAAGAGCAGAGGTGCAGCTGATGAGCTCGGATCCGCTATACCCACAGGAACGCTGATGGGATGTGTGGTTAGAAGGTCCTCCCCAAAAATTAGGAGCTGTTCCGGCTCTTTGACGTAACTGCAAGGTTTAATAGTTTAATATTTGAATACATAATATCTTGTTCACAACAAGAAAAATGTGAAGAAAGGAAATTAAAGAAGAAAAAAAAAAACCGTCATTTATCAAAAAAGAAAAAGAAAAAGAAGACATTTTATTCGTGACAAGATATTCTCATTCTAAGCTTCAAGCATTCTTGGACCTGCATAGCAGGCAGGCAGGTAGAAAAAAAAAAACAATTATTTCTTGTTCTCGCAGCTTCTTAAACAGGAAATCGTTTGGTGCTTGGGACATTGTAAATTACTGTTTGCTGGTGGTTAGGGATTAGAATACCAATCAAGTCATTTGTGACCCATCCAAATTCAGCTCATGAAAAACTTGATTCAATTCGGTTAAAATTAAACTTCGAGTTGAGCTGAAGCCCAATATAAACTCAATTGCTAATCGAACCCAGTGGTTAGTGAGTGCTAACTCTAGCACCCCAGGAGTTTTGGCGGAAGACTGAAAATAAAAGTCCATGTCAAAAATCAAAATTAGGATTTAGGACATGCTGCGCGGTGCGCATTACATTAGAACCAAAACTGTTTCTTATCACATACTATTATTGCAACTTTGATCATTTTAGATTGTTGGCTTCTGAGAAACCTTGTAAAAAACGTTTCCATTGTTTGCATTGACAGTTTGACACCACCCAATGGAGAATATCGATGAATTCTGATGATTGATCCAGAATTCCAGATGCAAGGGACCGGAGATGGGGATAGAAACATTAGCTTAGAAGGCTCCGAGTCTGTGGTCGGCGCTCAGGAATTTCAGATTTTAAATGAGTACTCACTTTTTGACAGTAAGAAAAAAATCGATCTCAAAGATTTGTTGGAGGATTCTGTTTCCTACGTGCCAAACGCAAGCAACATGAAAATCAATTTCAGAAGCTTGGATTTTCAGACATCTAAATATAACGGAATAAATAAAGAAAAAAGAGTACGGTATAGTTGTTAATTTGCAAGGTTCCGGGGAGAGAGAGAGAGCAGGCAAACTGAAGAAGTCGATACCCGAACAGAAAATTTGGGGACGCCATCAACAGATAGGAGTTTAGTTGTTAATTGGGCACAATTTTTTTTATTGATTATGTTTCTGGAAAACGAAACTATTACCCAAAGAAAAAGGAAATAAAGAAAATTTTGATAAACAAAACTGGAACAAATTAAAATTACAAAGGGCAAGCCCTACTACAATCAGCAATTTTACACCCTCCCTTTCAATTTAAGCTAAATGCCTAAATCATGTTGTCAAATAGAAAGCAGATCCGATAAAAGACTGTTCCCCTTGAACTTGATTGCCAGCCATCGAGAATTGGAACCAAACTGTTACTATAAATATTGTCAAATGGATGGTTCCTGGTTCAGTGAGACACATCTAATACGAGTATCTTGTTTTAGTCCTGCAGTCAAAGAATCAGATTCGAATGACCGAAGCACTTGTTCTGTCAGCATTCCCATGATAGTTGAGCTCTACAAACGTGCCTCCTCCAACACCCTTGGCCAGTCTACCAGGATTTATGCAGATGCATTTTACTTGCTCCTCTTCATTCATTCTTTGGCCAAAGGGCAGTACCTGTGCAACAAACAGATTATGTTGTAGGCTATATTACATGGTTATCTATATGGGTGATAATTGGTGCAAGTTTTGCACCTGCTGCATTCTTAGACTCCCAAAATTTTAAGACATTTTATCCTTATTTACTTGGATGGTATAAAATAGAAACATAAATGACAGAACCCCATTGGCATTTCAGATTCTGAATCTATTACCTATATTGTAAATGTTCAAAGTCATCTATAGGAAGTCACTTTGAAAATCATACCTCAATATACGTGAATTTATACCAGAGGCTTGTGCTAGATTCATGCACATGCATACAAGGATCCAGATCATTTAGCAATAGGTGGATATGTCAAGATATGATACATTGGTTCTAAAGACAGAGGCCTATATTTTACCTTCACAAATGGAGCCAGGTCTGAAGGCAGTACAAGAATATCTGGAACAGAGGGTATCTGCAAGGCTTCTGGAACAAGTGAAAGATCCAATGGAACACCTTCTGCAGGTGGATAAAGAGGATAAAAGCTGTTGAAACAAGAGTTAAATCAGCTCCACTGATTACTGATAATCATTGTAACTAAATATGTACTATCCAAGATCAATGGTTAAAAGGCATGCCTTCGCTGGTTGACTAAATGACATGCAAGTCTGCCCATACGATCCCCAGATAATCCATTAGCTGGGTTTCGTGAAATCTCCTCCCCACTAAGCTGTCTCAGGATATCCATGCTGCAACAACCTATCTTTACCTGAAACTTGCAACTATGAATTGCAAATACGGGAGAAGGCTAACAAATTCCAAATTCCATGAAGTGTATAAATGTCCCTAAGACCAAGGCATGCTCAAATATTTAAGAATGATTATTGATGTTAATATACAATAATATGCAGCAGTTAAGTTGCAAATAACTTTCTCTAGATCTCTGCCGTGACTTTCTGTATAGTAGGCTAGGAAAACTAATCAATTTGGTCCGATTTTGAAAACATAATAAAGAAAATCACATCCAGAGGTCATAAAGAAATTGGAATACAAATGGGATGCAAAAAGGCAGCATTAATTAAGCACATCTTTTTTTTTAATTTGACTCTATCCTACATCTAATCTGATGAAATCCTTACTTGGTTGTAGTTATTAGGATTGGTGTTTATTCTTTTCTTTTTTATGTCTGCATGGGAAGGAGGGTAAACCACCTTTGTTCAGTGCAAATTGAGTCAGCCACACACGAGCAACTATATATGAAGTTGCAACATGACTTGCCTGCCTAAGTTCCACAAATGCTTGTAAGGGTTCTTGTTGATTATTCCCCAGGATTATCTTCAACGGATTTGTTATCAATATAAGCAGAATAAGAAACAAAAGTGGAGACCAGTTGCTAGAGAAAAGTATATGCTGCTTATGCTGCTAGTTGTATTTACAACTCATGTTTATACCCCATCCTGTGAAGGTTCTAAAAAACTAAGTCTAACATCTGTGACGAGGCATTTTGTATTTTAGTGGAATTATATTGATCGATGATCACCTGGTGATGTTGAATGAGTACTGGTGATGGTATTGGACAAGATTGAAATGCTTCTAAACAAGGTATCAGCTATTTCAAGACAAAGATACATGCTTTTGAAGGAGATTTCTATATCATCTGAGTCAGTCCATATTGGGCACATTCACAGTTGATCCCAACCATTCTCCATTTCCAATGCCTTTGTTGAGTCACATACAACTTCCAATGCCTTTGTTGAGTCACTCAGATCTGGATATCAGATGAGTTCGTGTCTCAGACTCAGTTTCTCCCCTCTCTGCAATTTCTTAAATCGCAAACCGCTGTCCAGGTCAAACGAATCGATGGTTAGACCACCTGGGTCATCAGTTTTCTGACAAAGTCAATGGTTTTGACCCAAGAACAGGTCAGGGGTGAAACAGAACTGGTTGCTTGGATGGTTTCCGGGCCAAATGGTCCGACCGTCTGGGTCAACGACGGTTCAAAAACATTGCATACAACTCCCATACTTTTAAGAAGCCAAGTAGAAATTTAAAGTTTACATATATGATAAAGTCATTATTGAATGATGCCATTAACAAAATATGTTATGTTCTTGCTGCAATTATATACAGTTATTATTAGTGAGTGGCTCTTGATTCATTACCACACCCTACATGTATGGTAGAGTCATTATGAGCATAAATCATATAGGTATTCCCTATGATGAGAAAGATGCTGGCAAGATTTTCTCCATACCTTGTTTGCATCGAAAAGCCCTGGATTTGCAAAGCTAGTTATCTGGGCCAAAAGAAATAAACATTCAGATTTTAACAAGAAACAATGATAACCAATTCAGGAAAAATGAACATAACACAGTGAGCCATTTGGTTTACAAAATGATCTCACAAATCCAAGACATACCTGATGTTTTAGATCAGAAAAGTGTATATCAAGTGGAGGCTGCAAAAACAAAACATCTTTTATTAGAAAAAATGTAAAATGACACCTTAGTCATCACTTACTTGGATATTATTTCCATCACAAGTCAATGTAATGAATAAATGGAGAAAAAAGATCTAATATATCCAACAGAAGCAACACCTGAGGGAAAACAAAATCATGGTGAGCATCTCGTATAGATGGAACAAGAACCACACGTGCAGCAGAACCCATGAATGCAGCATAATCTTGCACCTGGGTCATCAACAGCAACAGAATAAGAAATTAAGCGTTTCTTGTGAAGTATTAAGCTATGGACATACTAACCCTTTTGAGTACTTCCTCATGAAATACTTCTTCAAAGCTTCTATCAATGGCTGCTTTCTTAATATCAGGATGTTCAGAATCAACAAATGGCCCTAGCTGCCAAAAGTTTCTCAAGGCATCAATTATGGAGCTTTCGATCAGAAGACAGCTAAGATTCCCAAAGTTACAACAGGACAATATTCAACCTCTCACCAGCATAAGCAACTGAGGCTGCTTTCTGGTTGCATATGCAAGCAATTCACTTAAAGGTTCAAAGAACAAGTTGTCAGTTGTCGTGAAAGGTCCTGCAGCAATAATCTGTTGGAAGTTCAACACAGATGTTTAAACATAGTACATGGATAAGGAGAGAACATATAAAACTAACATGTGGTGGTCACTCATGTCAACATATCTAGTTGCAAGGTATTGTAAGATTAGTTTGACTACTAATTTAGTAGTGCATTGAAGCATGCATTAGCCCAGAAATTAGTACGAGGTAAAAGTTTAAAAAAGGACATGCACTTCCTTTTTTTTTGACTTCCACTAACAAATAAAAGGATAAAATAATAGACATTGATGCATGTTGTTTCTGTTCATTTTAGTTACAAGAAATATACATTCAGACAACTGAGAAGCTGCACATGGTCTTCTCAATATACCAATTTTTTTAATAATTTCTGTATAGAAATTACTTCAGGGGAGATGTTACTCTAAAACATGTTCACATACCAGTGAAAGCTCTTCTAGCATATTTGAAGGAGGTGGATTAAATTCTTCATCTAGATGTTGCTTTTTTGCAGGAGCTAAATCAGCGTTCGGGGAAATTGACAAGGGCATATAATCAACTACTTTTGATGCAACAAAACAGTGTCCACTAGGATTATGCCCCTCAATACCCACCACCTGTACAAGTTCATTGCTTTCAATATTACTCATTTCATCAACCTGACAAGAGTTGAACTCACAAGCATGGGTATTGTAATATGATTATATTTACCTGGCCTGGGAATAAAGAAAACTGGGTCAGTTTATGTAAGTCAAGACGCACACGTTGTCCCCCACAATGTTCAACACTGCTACAAAAAAGTATATATATGTAGGATCCAAGTCAGTAACAATTGGAATGTGGCAGGGGACTGCAACATGTGTCCTGCAGAAATGTCTTGTTCAAGTTGAATAAATAAAGACTGTTTGCAATCCACTATTTAACTGGGTCCATCTAAAATGATTTTCAAAGTCAAAATCCATGTAATCAGATTATCTTAACTTTTTATCAATATCAGATTATCTTAATTATTTGATCTTTAGAATTCCTTTTTAATTGGCATCTTTATAATTCTTTCTTGGCAGTTGTCTTTATAATCAAATCCTAAATATTGGGATAAGGATTCATTGATATCCAAAACCATGTGATACATCTCTTTTTTTGATATCTTTTGAAGGGCTACACAACGGGGGGTAGCCCAACCCATAACCCCCCACCGAGGTGCAGGCGGGATTCGATCCCAAGTCTCTGCTACAACCAGCAGGAGACCTTACCAACCAGCTGGTTGGAACCTTGCAACCATGTGATAGATCTCATGGCTATAATTAATTGACTGGACCAGTTTGGCCAAGATTAGGTAATCAGTATTACTGGTCAAGTGATGATTGCAAACTCCTACATGTGTTATTGCCAGAATGGCAAGTGGAACAATCATCTTGATCTCTCTCAAGTGTTCCTTAAACAGGAAATTCATTATTCTTTATCATGGTGGCAGTGTTCCTAAGCTAATGATTGCAAAACCCCTACATGTATTGTCAGGATGGAAAATGGAACAAACATCTTAATCTATCTCAAGTATTCCTTTAACAGGACTTTTTTTTTTGATAAGTTCTTTTAACAGGACATTCTTGATTCTTTATCATGGCAGCAGTCTATTTAAGCTGACTAGTAATGAATAAAAGCAACCGAAATCCATACCTGCCTTGTAACAGGACAGACTTTTCATTCAGCCGACCTTCTCCATCGCAACAGACCATGCCAACAGAGAAAACTTTATTCTGAAACAACAGATTCTATCAGAAATTTGAGTGTTCTGACATAAACCAATTTACTAGATGACTGGTAGAAAAAACAACAAAAAAAAGAATGAATCCATGCTTCAAAAGAAAATATAGGTCAAGGAGAAGTTTTTTTTTGTCACAGGGGTATACACAAATTAGGGGCACTATACAATTCAGGAAGAAGAGAAAAGAGGTATGAGATAAGCAAATCACCTGTGACGCCACTGTAGGGTCCGTTGGTTCCTCATAAAGTCCAGAAGCAACAAGTGCAATTGCATGCCTTCTAATTCGATTTTCAAGAGAATTGAACTAAATGGAAAAAGAAAAATGATATTTATACAATGTAAACAAAAAAAAAAAATCTAAAAGTAAAGCATTCTCCGCCTAAGTGCCAATTACCCTGTCCTCAACCCTGTCATACATAAATCTGCAACCCGGTTCTGGTTGTGACCCACAAACTTGCAAAGAGCACCTTTTGATTGGCTGGACCCTCCTAATGATGTCATTTTCGGTATTGTCAATTTCTTGTTCTTTTACATCGTTCCCTTCATCTAAAGGATTATTAAAAGCAGATTGTACGACAAACTTGCTTGTCCTTTGCCCAAAAGGTGTCATATTGTTACTTGCGAGTCTGGATGGCTTTCCAGAGCTGGGTCGTCTATTCCCAGTTGTTCCAGGCGTAATGTCAAATGACTCTGGATAGATGTTTTCAGGTCGGTCTGTTGGAGTGCCTAGGATACCCTCTTTTGTATCTTCATGTTCATCGCATAGAATCCTGCATAAAGAGACTTGTTGTGATTGGTTCACATGCAATTAATTTTTGTTGTTTTTAAACATTTGAAAAAAATGACAACATGATGGAACTGACAAAAGTATCAGAAGAAGCTAAGCCTCCTTAATTATCAAAGGCCAACCAACCTTATCAAACAATTGACAATCTCGTTTAAGAAGGCATGTAGAACAGATTGTCTATTGAATTATCTAAATCTTCACTTCTATCAACGGTGAACAAAAAAAAATGATAAAACCCAAGGTAATGCAATTATAAAAGAAAGGACCCCTTTCCAAACTCCCATTTAATTACATAAGTGGAGATTTCATTTACACTCAAACTATTTTAACTCTGAGCCTAGCGCAGTAGTGTTATGATCAGAGACCTGATTTTTAATCAATCCAGTCCTACCGCACTAGTATGCATATGAAAAAGAAAGCACCGACAAATCACAAGTCCAAGCCTTGTCCTGATTATCCTATGGCAGTGAATAAATAATTTAAAAAAAAAAAAGTTGGGGATAATTCGCTACTTACATATCAACGTCATTACTGGAGTAGATATGCAAGTTCGGTTCCTCTTTGATAATCGCGTCCTTCTGTTCGTTTTGTAGGTGCAACAAGAATCCGTCCATTTGAGCATTTTGTACCAAGGAACCACTTAATTGCCTGTAAAAGAGAAGAGTATGCATATTTCTAGACTGTGAAACGTCACTTAATGCATCGAACACTAACCGAAATCCTAGAAAAATAAAAATGTAGAAGGTACAAAAAACATTAAAACTTAACAAATTATCCTTCCAATTAGAATCCGATTAAGAGAAATGAAACCAGCTATAATAGTCTGGATGAAATATACATGTACAAAATCAAATGAGAGATAGAGGGAACTTTCTACCTGTTGAGATAGTAAACCTCCCAGCTGGAAACAAGATCGGAAGGCGTCAGTTTGCAATTTATGCAGAAAGTGAGACCTGGCAAGTAGAGAGAGAGAGAGTTGTTTTCAGCATATCTGCAGCCAGTAGAAATGGCGAAAAGGAAAGTAACCGGGGGGGGGGGGGGGAATAAAATAAGAATTACTTACATTTCTTCAATATGTCCTCTTCGTCGATAGAAAACCCACTTCTTTCGAATTCTGCTTTGATCTCTTCTTCCATGACGAGCTAGGGTTTGAACTCAGGAGCGGTGACGATGATGGAGAAGAGAAAAAAGAAAAATTGGCGGGATGGCGGGAAATTACTCTTACCAATAAATAGTAGATCAAATCTCTTAAATTACCCCTAAGTTTTACAAAATTGACTTACCCTATCCTTAATATTTAAAAAAGGAACATTCTAGATTAGTATCCTTAATTTGGGTCTAGGGCCAGTTTGGTCCTTAACGCAACAATTTACTATCCGAAATTTCAAAGAGTGTCATTCTAGATTATCTAAAGACGCAAATACCTTTCATGTATCATTTAATTTTCTTTATCAACCTTTCAAAAATGGACAAAAATGAACAGTCTCAAATCCTTGCCTCTTCAGTTATGTTCAATAAAGTTGAAATCACCAAAATGCCCATTGAGACATAACCCCCAACTTTTTTGAATAGAATAAGCAATGATTTGAGACTGTTCATTTTTATCAACATGTTGACGGTTGATGAAGAAAATTATATGGCATTTAAAGGGCATTTGTGTCTTTTCAAATATCATTTAACAACTAGTTAACGACAAGTACTATATTGACACATTTTGAAAAATCGAATACTGAATTTTTGCGTTTTAAAGTTCGAGAGACCAAAATAGCACTAAGCCTAAGCCTAAAGTACATAATACTAATTGGAAATTTTCCTAAACTTAAAGTATCTCAAATTTGTTGGAAAATGAATACCAATAAATAATTTGTTGAAAAATGACTTAAATCCTCTAAAAATTATTAAATAAAGATGAAATGACTATTTTATCTATCATTCTTCCTAAATTTTTCAAAATAAACCTACTATTAATGAAAATGCAGACACAGAACCTTTGGGCCCACATCTACAGGCACTCCTTGGCCCCCCAATATTTTTGTTAAGACAATCATTTATAGCTAGGAAGTGGAAGGCTGGGGTAAAATATGTAGTAAAGTGGGTCATCGCCTCCCCACCCCCTCAAAAAAATATAAATGTTAAGGATCACTCTCTGATTTCCCCTAATTCCCAAAATTAAAAAAAATTTGTTTATTCTTTCTTTAAAAAAAAATCTGTAATATATCTAAATCTTCGGTCTCATTTCTCCTACCTCTTATTCTCCCAATTTCATTAACTTGGCCCCCGAAAGAAAATTCTTGACTCCGCCATTGCCCACACCCTTGATAGTCATCTCTTCCGGTTTTATTGTTAAGTATGTATAATGCTGAATAAACATCAAATGTCATTTGAAATCAAAATTGCAGTTTAAAATTGTAAATAAACCCCGCAATTTCTCAAACCGAGAAAAACGCAGAAAAAAAAGGTTGAGAATACGTGAACAAATGCTCAAACAATTTAAATAATATTGGAATTTATAAAAATATATATGTTATATGATGTCACATGTGAATGAACTATGATGAAATGATAATAAACATTAATGGCAGGGGAGAATTTAATCAATTACCAAAAAAATTTGAGAATACTTTAAGATAATTTTTAAATAACAGGGATAGAGTAAGTAAATTTACTAAAATTAATTCCAATAGTTAAACTGTACACATTAATACCAATTACAGATCTCCACGTCAACACCTGAAGGGGCTCAAATCTACTACCAACAAAGTTGCTCCCATTTCCCTACCCACAATTGTGCATTGGTAATATCTCACTTATCATTCATGGGAGATGTTCCCAATACACAGCAGTGGTGTTTCATGGGTATGGATGTGAGAATAATTTGTGGGTAGCAAATCCAAAGTGCACTTGAAGTTACCCTCCCATGTGCAAGAGTAGTGTTTGTTTATTTGTTTTTCGAGTATTATTCGTTAAAAGTTAAAACTTAAACATCAGGGAAAATTCCTGATCAGTACCATGTATTTTGGCTCGTGTGACAATTTGGTTCCCTAGCTTTAAAATGCGATAATTCAGTATCCGAACTTTCAAGATGTGACAATCCAGTATCCAAACTTTCAAAATGTGACAATCCAGTACCTATTGTTAATCAACCGTTAAGTGACATTTGAAAAGTCAAAAAATGCTCTAAGAATGCCATCTAATTCTCTTTATCAACCATCCTAACATTGACAAAAAAATGAACAATTTAACTTTTCAATTGTCACTTAACGACCGATTAAGGGACTGGTTAATGGTAGATAGTAGATTGTCACATTTTGAAAGTTCAGGTACTGTATTGTCACATTTTAAAAATTTGGGAATTGGATTGTTGCATTTTAAAGTTCAGGGACCAAATTGTCACTCAAGCCAAAGTATGGGGTACTAATCAGGAATTTTCCCTAAACTTTATCCATGCTCCATCATCTGCTTGCTAAAAGAATGCTTATTTATCGTTGATACCGGTGAAAAATTGTGATGAAGATATATTTTTCTAGGGATTTCACACAACAATGCTTATAAACTATTTGGATGAGTTCCACCTTGCGAGAAGCCACTGTATGAAAGTACTCCATATCTGCTACCCACAAGCTGTTCCCACAGAACACCATGACTACGGCTGTGTATTGGGTGATGGGATCTGCTCCTCACAAATGGGTGCTTCACATGCACATCCACTGTGCATTGGGAACATCTCCCATGAATAATAATAAATAAGTACGGGAGATGTTCCCAATATATGATAGGATGTGTGTATGAGGCGCCAATTGTGAGAAGCAGATCCAGTCTCGTGTATTGGAAACATCTTCCCATGAATGAAAGAGAAGATATTCCCAATGGGCCAATGCACAATTGTAATGTCTAGTGGATAGGAATGTGGGATCATGTATGTACCAGATCCAAGTCCGTGTGAAAGCCCATTCATGTCCCAAATGGAAATAGCATTATTAAGGTTGAGCCCCCAGACTTGGCATGGCCGAGATCTGCCTATATGACGCTAGGAATAGACCAGCCAGCCTGCCCACTTGCCACTTTGGGTTCGGGCCACAGAGAGGATGGCAGATTAGTCCTTTCTCGGATATCATATCTTTGAGCCCTTCAAATTTTTTCTTTTTGTTGGGTTGATCTACCCGCTAAGACCCAGTATTAAAAGTTAGGATTGCCGCCCCTAATCATACAGTTGGCTGTTGGGATTATCTCCAGAACACGGGAAGAATATTGTCCATATCCATTATATATTTGATAAAATGGAAGAATTCATCATCATCAAAATCATAAACTCAATTTAGAAATAAACAAGAAAGGATGTACCCATACAATACAAAGAAACAGAAAACAATAGGAACCCAGGAAAGAGACCTCTTCTACATTGCTCTTTATAATAGCCCTTTTGGCCAATAATACTGAAACTAATAATATTAAGGACCAAGGTAATCCCCATCTACAGTGCTCTTTATAATAAGCCCTTTGGACCAATATTGAAAGTTGAAACTAATAAATGATCCAGAGTATTAGTCCCCATTGACTAAAAGAAAATCTCTCCATCCAGTCAGATTATTGCCACTATCTACATTATCATGAGCTCATCCCTCTCTAATTCAGACCCTTTGTTGGCGGAAGAGGATCACGAATAAAACTTGTAGGTTTTGGCCTGAATGATTATCTGCCTTAGCCCACCGATAGGGGATATAATCATCAACAAAACGCCAAGAATGATGCATATCTGTGAATGCATTACGAAAAGCTGGTTGTTAGCACATGATCCCAAACGGAAGGGAAAAGGGAGGATAATGAATAATACCACTAAAAGAAACATACCCAGTTAGCAAACCAAGATAGGCTGAATCTTCTTGGCTTGTAGATGGCAAGCCACATGATGCAAGGGAGCTGCAATGGGGATACAACCACAATTCAATGATTCAGAATCTCAGATGCAGATACAGATACAGAGTAAGTCTTTTCTTCAGTTGTCCTAGCATGACAAAAACAGAGTAAGAGAGAGTGTTTGGTTGGCTTACAAAGTATGTCGTTGGGGCGAAAGCAAACCCTCCAAAAAATCCAAGAAGGCCACCAAAGAAGGGGAATGTCATAGCAATGAACATCGTCAATGCTGCAGATTCACATAAAGGATCACAAGGGAATGAGCTCAACTGGTATCACCAATTGCTGAAATTTCACAGGCAATTCTAGAACAGAAAGCTCTTACCAACATATGTACTTCGTGAAATCAAGCGAAGTCTAAGTCCAGGCGTGAAATGCAGTTTCTTTACCAACACGGTTTCTATCATGTCGAACACTGGCATAGCATAAATCTGCATTCAGAAGAAGAACAGTCATCAATTCATCATTCCATCCATACTCAGGGGAGGAAGATCAGTGAATCAGTAATAGAGCGCAAATTTCACCTGATAACTTCCAATAACATGGATGACAACAAAAATGTTAGCCATGCCGATTAACCAAGCAGGCTTCTCCAGTGAGAGGAGAATGTTGTCGTCGACACTGTTCCCAAATACCCAGTAGCCAATTAGAGCAACTGGGAAGTAACATGCAGCGACGATGATATAGGCGAAGATGACACCCTTCCACATGGGTTTCTTGGATGGATTCTCTGGGGTAGAGGGGATGGTTGCTTGGATCTCCAAGACCACATTGTGCCCAGCATAGGCGAATGCTACATCACCCAGGGCGCTAAAGAAGTTGAAGACTGTTCCTGCTGTGGTTGAGGCTTTGTAGCCGTATTGCACATCATGTTGAACCCCCTTATCAACAGAAGCTCCCCAGGCAATGGTTGAATAGCTGTGCAAGCACAGATCACATAGATGAGTGAGATCGAGTACAAGTAACAAGTTTGTTTAATCTGTATTCAGACTGGAAAAGGAAAGGAAAGAGATAAGAGTACCTTAAGGACATGACTGCTGCTGCCAAGGAGACACCCGAGATGGAGTTGAGGTTGGGGAGTTGAGAGAGCACAAAGTGAACAGAAGCAAAGATCATGATGAAATAGGTGAGTTTAATGTCTTTGCAGCTGCTGCACACAGTATTGTGAAACTTCTGAAGCGATTTGCCACCGGTAACCATGTAAACTATGTTGACACCAACTTCGACAATCAGTTGCTGGGGTACGACGATCCACAGGCCGAGCTTCTCACCGAAGGCGTGCTGACCCAACTCATGGTACCTGTCAAATCGCTTCCCTGGAACCATCTCGTGCATCTCAACCATTTGCCATAATGTGTAGAGAGTGATGATCCAGGATAGAACAAGTACAGCGACACCAGGACCCCTGAAGAAACACCCAAGAGAAATTTCATTTGGAGTTGTTCAGTGACCAACAAGATATCTATCTATCTATCTAATCTACTAGGAAGAAATGGCAACTCCAGCTCTTACTGAATTTGGCCTACACAAAAAAGAAAGAAAACATACCATCCGAGCTCTGACATTGCATAAGGCAGGCTGAGGACTCCAGCTCCAACCATGGCGGTGACATTGTGGAAGGTTGAGTACCACCATTTGGCATTCCGAGAAGAAGTGATGGGAAGCCAATCATCGATTTGCTTCTCCTTTTGCTGTTCATCATGACCCATTTTGTTAAAATAATCTCTTCTTAATCTTCAGGCAACCGGAATGAAAAAGAAAATACGATTGAAAACCAAACAATTGCACAGAACCAGCAATTCAGATTCATATTTATAAGAAGAACGTTCAATGAAATGAGCTGTGCAATCCAGAAATGGCAAGCTTATTAAAAGAGACAGTTGGCTGGCTAGAAATTACATTACTTCCCGAGCCTGGGTTTCCGTTTATAATTGATTCTGGAATCTTTCAAGTCTACCGCGAATCTCTTTTTTTTTTTTTTTAGAAGTCAAAGTTAAACCTGTTCTATAATGAGCTGTATGAATCGACGGTTAAGCAAGCAACCGATTAATAAAGTTTAAACAAACGCTGTAATAGTTGTTGGATTAGAGTTCACATCTCCGCTCCACAGCACATTCCCACCGTGTATTGAGGACATCTCCCGATGATGACATCATTGGTTCTGGTATTATCATCGGGAGATGTTCCAAATAGATGTACTGTGGGGCGCAGATGTGAACTCGTTGGATTAGGAGTCTACGATCTCCGGCATAAAAGATTTGAATCCAACCGGAACTCCTGAAGCACTATAATTCTATAAATCCTTGTGTACATAAAAAAACGATGGGCGTCTTCACCCCAAACTTCTGCCGGAGGCCACGGCTAAATTCACAATTCAGTCAACAATTTCCCTATTCTATTTTTGGTTTCTGTGATTCGTCATGGGTCTACTACAGCCAGGAAACCAATGGGTATGGGTGTCATCAAACGATCAGTCTTACACTCTGAAAATTTCTATTAAAACTAAAATGCTTTGAAATCTAAATATCAATGCGTGCATGTGATTAAAATAAGTTGGAGAAAAAAAATTGCATTACTCCTCATAAATTTCAAAATTCAAATATCCTAAAATGTTCATTGGGTCAATATCGATTTTAATTAAAATGAAAACAGAATTTATGGTAGAAAGCAACTGGGCTTGGGCTGCATGTGAACGCGAGACGGACACGTTTGGGTTTGGAAAGAGAAGATTGACGCCAAAGCAATTCGTCAAAGTACAACCCAAACAGTGGTTAAGGTTAGGTAGGCTAGATCAATTGATGGAGTGAAGCGAGCAGCTGAAGCAATTTGGCTCAAAGTCTCAAACTTATGGTCAGGATAAGCATTATTCTGATAATTACATTTTCTACTAATTTATTTATGGGAAGCAAACACTGTAATATAAGTATGTTAACGCCAGTTTTTTTTTATAGGCTCAGTTTGAAAAGAATATAAATACATACAAGATAATACAAAGGGTTCAACTATGATATAGAGGAGATATCATATTTAAAAAATTTCTGATCAATCAATTGGAATCATAAACCTGATAATCAATCAGGTGTTATTTATTAAAATTAATGGGTAGGTTTTGATTGATCAAAACTCTTAATTCCCATACCATATCTTTTCTGCATCATATATTTTCCCTAATACAAAGTTGCACTCTAATACAAAATAATATAATTGATAAATAGAGCCAATTATCTATTTGATACAGAGTTTTATCCTATTGATTTGATGAACAATTGTGTTGAAACTTTATGATAAATCAAATTAAAATCCAATAAACCAAACCCAGGAATCAAGACAATTTGGTTGACACGAAGATTCAGTTTGAAAAGAGTAAAATTACAATATATACAGTACAAATATATATAAAATACAAGGTTTTGCAGTCTATATATATGTATTTGTACTCCTTCCAAACTGAGTCGAACGAATTTCAAAGGTGAAGTTAATTAATAAGTTAACGAAAATTGAATGAGGTCATAACCTAGTTACGGTAGGAATAACTGGCTTAACTGAAAATAGAAGCTAATTAGTATTTACTAGTTCAGTGAAAGTGTGAACCCGTATCTGGCCTGTATCTGTTTCCTAGTAGAGAAACTCAAGTTGGAGGAGAAATTACGAATAGCAGAGAAGATTATAATACAAGAAATCAAAACAATCAATTCAATTGGCGTTTGAAGGTGAAAGACAAGCTCGTGTCTAATTGCGCAAACTAGTTTCAGAAGAAACAAATTTTCGTTGAACTGCACCCAATCCCCCTGTCGCCGGGGTAAAGAAAGAACAGTGAAGCGTCGATGGAACAAAAAAAAGGAAAATAACTGACGACTTACCACTGTCATCATATGGAATAACTTCAGACGAGCGAGGGAGAGAGAGAGAGAGAGAGATTACCTTGTTAGGGACGGTGAAGTTCTCATCATTTGAAGTCTGAGTTCCCATGATCGAGTGTAGAGTGTATGCAGAAACAGATAGAAAAAGAATGGAGAAGAGAGTCAGAGAGAGGTGTAATTGGTACTGGCAACTGGGTGTGGAAAATATCGAAAGAAGCGTGTATTTAAAGAGGAGGAGGCTCCGTCTAAAGTGTTTAGAGATTGTGAACTGTTGATTACCGAGGGAGACGTTTTAGTTTGACTTGAAAAAGAGTTTTTTAATTTTATTTAATAAAACACGTTATTTTTTTCTTATTACACTGAACTAATAATTACAAAAGTAAAAGAGAAATGAAATAATTGAATATAACGTAGGCCATGGATGAGTTTTTATAATGCACAGTGGTAGTGTGTTGTGGGCAGAGAATTAGAGATATGGGAAGAGTTGATAAATGTACCAGGAGTTTAGACATCATCGGGAGATTGTTTTCAATATATCGGAATGTGTAATGGAACATTGTGAGGTATAGATCTGAATTCATCTATTAATAACTGCGAATTGAAAACATTTCTCTAATAAAAATTTATAATTATGAAAATGTTCCATACACGTGACCGGATTCAGTTAGAACAAAGTTCATTTGAACAGTCATCAATATCTTACATTGGAAATATCTCTTCGTAAAATAAAACACAGAAATACCAAAATATTCCCGATAAAAGATTGTAAAGGCTGTTCGAACAATATCGGGCCTTGCTCTGACTGAAGCTGATCTCGGCTGAGACGTACTATGAGGCGCATTCGGTGAGGAAAAGATCCTCACGGCAAGTAACTCAAGCAGTGTAAATCGTAAAATGTTAATTTGGGCCAATTCAAATGTGAGGTGAGGAGCAAATCCAGATTAAGATAGGGAGGTTGAGGTTGAATATTATTGTAAATCCTTGAAACTACACGTCAGCTATTTGACGAAGCTACCTATTGCTTGTGAAACAATAATGTGCTCCAAGGAAGCACCGCTAGACGGTTTGACACGATGGATAACATGGGTGTAATTAATGATAGTAATTAAAAAAATAGCCGTTGAATTCAGGGGATACAACCCCCTAATTAAATAAATGTGCTACATAACGAATTCCTGACACAATATGCTATGGTCAAATGCATTCTAACAAGTAAGGGCTGTTTGGTAATATATATTAAAAAAGGACACCGTTGAACGTCTGTTCTCTGGGGGAATAAAGTGAAAACATTTTTACCGTGATTTAGAAAATATCCCTGTTTCTGAAATCAGCAAAGAGATCATTTCAAGAACAAAAAACATGCTTTCATTGTCTGAGGGCTTAGTAGGTAACTTCTGTTGATACAGATCCAATAAAATAAAATAACACTTCCGTTTGGTTTACGGGAATACGGGTCTGGATTTGGAATCACAATGGTTGGGCGGAACTGGAATCTCATTCATATCCTGCTGGAATAACATTCCCTCATTTAAGATAATAATGGTCATTCCCTATTTTTCTCTTTGGGAATGAAATTCTATTACTAATTATTCTAATTCTCATTCCCATTTCTATCTGAACCAAATAGAATATAAAAATAGACTATTCCAATTCCGACTACAAATCAAACAGACCCTTAATCTATATTAATGTATACATGTACCGAAACACAAAATACATTTTATTTTATCTCTTTTTCTTCATTTAATTTGCACCTCGGGTCCTCGGCGGACGGCGGAGGACTCCCTAATGGTACAATTTAATCCGAAGAAATGTGTATCCTTTGACTAGTTTCCACTTTTAGGTAGTCGGGAAGCTTCTTGGAAACTCGCAATGTCATGGTCAAACGCTGATGAATAATGTCAGGTGTGGAAACTGGTTTAGGTGTTCAAGCAACCGGTTCATTACACAAGGCTCAAACAAATATGAATTAATGAGCTAACAATTCGTGTACGGGCAACAACAAAGGTAACTAAAACGCGTATGTGTTCGGGTTAATTAACTTTATCACAGCCATACATCTACATAGAAATGCCCAATTTTGTTACAAGAAAGAAATTACTTTCTAACTGTTTTCGAGGTCCCATTATTCTACCCTTCAAGTTGTCCACTACTGTCAACGCTCAACTCTATCGATGATTTAGACCTCAATTGAGACTTTGAGTCTTTGAGAGTGTTCTAACGGGTCTTTTTCTTTTTGATGTAATCGTTTTTTGTCACGTACCATTTTTTGGGATGTGTAAAATTTTTTTGGCTAAGTACCTCGTGTTTGATCTGGTGGTGACGTGCCTTGGTGATGAGCTACTTGGTGGCGAACTTCTCGGGGGAGAACTGCCTGGTGGCGAACTGCCTGGTGATGCTCCCTGGTGGCGAACTGCCAAGTGGCGAACTGCCCGGTGGCGAACTGCCTGATGGCGAACTGCCTGATGACGAACTGCCTGGTGGCGAACTGCCTGATGGCGAACTGCCTGGTGGTGCTGCCTG